AAAAAGGAAATCTTTAACTCTTTTACACGGCGATTTTCATTATACTTATACGTTGTTTTGATTTTTTATTTAACTTAAAGGCCGTGTTCCACAAGACGAAAAATTCGCGCGAAGCGAACTTTTTCGTTGTTAAGCATGCGCAGATTAAACATTTTTGGCGATTATAAAAACTTTTTTTCGCTACAGCGTTTCGCTGCAGCGAAAAAAAAGTCGGATTTATTTCGACTTTTTGCGAGTCGCCATAAGCGAAAACCATTCAAGTTTTAAATATTATATCACGTGATGTCAACATTAAAAAAAGCGAAAACATGTTGTTTTTTAAAGTAACAAAAAACAAAATTCTTAACCCGGCGTTCTTATAAATTTTATATGAAATTAATCTGAAAATTGGCATGCATGAGTAAATTTATCAAACAAGGGGCAAGACTTACATAAAAAAATGACCAGATTTATATATAAAACTAAATCGAGAATTCACAATTATAAACTTTCACACTGTCAATTACGAAAGTTTACTTCATAAGAATGTTTATCTTCAAGTGGCCACAGATAAACCTTTTTGTGAAAAATTCTACATAGAGTTAAACCTGCTATTCGTTCTTGCAGAAACAGTTTTTTAACCGAAATGTTCATATCAGAGTTTAGCATTTATTTTCTTATACTTTCTTGTAAAAAAAACCTTATATTAAATGATTATATTACAAAATAATATCACATCTTACATATAAAGGCAGAAATAATAATATTAATGCATGGAAAGATATTTTCACATGCCTTAAAGTAAAAAGTATACTAAAAAAAGTAATAACTGCTTTTAGTTAAACACATAGCGTAAACACGAACGGCTATTTCCTGAGATCGATCCCTGTTTTGATTGGTTAAAAATTTTGAGTTTCGCAGAGTCCGATTTTAAAACATCTCGTTAGCCGGACTCTAAGACTTGAGGAAATTTTTAACGCATGCGTTGTTTTAGTAGGTTTAATTTCTAAACCTTGTTTTAAATTTAAAAACAACGCGCGTTCTTATAATAGCAACTAGTTAGGTGAACTTAAAATTTATCAGAACTTGTTTATTAAATTTGAAAAATAATAAATTACAATGGTGAGTTTTTCTATTAATTATAATAATTCTTATATGATGAAAAAAGATTATAAAAATTCTTTTATAACAAAATCTTATATTTACCTTCATTCAAAATAAATATAATTATATTTATTTTGAATGAAGGTAAATATAAGACTTCTATATATTGTAAGGAAATTATATATTACAATATATTATATATTATAAGGTAATATATATATATATATATATATATATATATATATATATATATATATATATATATACATATATATATATATATATATATATATATATATATATATATATATATATATATATATATATATATATATATATATGTATATATATATATATATATATATATTAAATGTAATATATTGAAAGGTAATAAAATATATTATATATTATAAGGTAATATATATAAGGTAATATACTATAATATATTTTGAGGTAAATATAAAAATATAAGATTCTATAACCTTATATAAGGTTATAGAAGTCCATGTTTACATTTACATTAATATATATAAAAATTTATAGATTTAAAAAGTTATAGATCTATAACTTTTTAAATCTATAACTTTTTAAATTTTTAAATTTTAAATTTTTAAATTATAATGACATCACAAATATAAGATCTATCTTATATTTGTGATGTCATTATAATTTATAATGACATCACATTTATAATAAATATATCTATAATCATATTCATAATATTGATAATAATAAGAAGAAATGAATGTTTATCATTTATACATTTTTGTTCTATTTATACTGTTATATTCTATAATTTGATATAAGATAGGCTGTATGAATATTAATTATAAATTTTATTCTATATTGATTATATCTGTATAGAATTAAAATCTTTCATAGATAGTATGCATACATAACTAAAACAAAATATGTTATATTGATCAAAATGTTGTCTACTTAACTCATTAATAAAAGTCAGTTCATGTGATTAGAAATTTTAGTACAACATTAGCAATCTTTAGCATGCACCAAAAATAGATTATTAAAATTATTTATACTGCAGACCTAGAAGGTTTTTGACTTACAACAGATGGAAAATATGCATATATAATTGCTACCTACTTTTGTTGCATGCTAAAATTTTGATCACCAACTGTTTATGTTATAGTTGTCTAAAATAAAATCAGCTTTATTATTCTATTAAATTAGTATTAAAAAGTAAGGTATAGTTAGTAATTATTAAAAAGATGATTTTAACACGGCTCTCATTTTTTATTACCTTTTCTCATTTCTATTAACTGTAATTATTATGTATAAAATTCAACACTTAATTATATTCCTAACAACTAAGCGTTAAACAATTGAAAATTGTATATATATATATATATATATTTATATATATATATATATATATATATATATATATATATATATATATATATATATATATATATATATATATATATATATATATATATATATATATAAGTATAAGTTGTTTCTTACGTTTTAAAATTATATGTTTAATAAATTAATAAAATATAATTTTTTTTTTAGTGTTTCTATAATAATTACTGAGGTATCATACGTAAGTTTTTTAAACAAAAATAGCTGTTTTAAAATTCAAGGGTTGCTCAGACAATTTTGTACATAAAAAAAAAACATAAAAAACATTTTCATGCCAGCTAAGTTATTCAAAATTGGCAAGACAATATAAATGTTGTAAACTAGTATTGATTTAACATATTTTTAAATTATAATTTTTTTAAAAAACTTGTAGATAAGATAGATAAGAATGATTTTGATTCTTATCTATATGGCTTGTAAAGTGCATATTTAAAAATCTGTCTCATTAAATGAGAGAACATGTTGTAAACTTGTATACACTTACTAATATGCATTTAATGTTGTAAACTTGTTTGCAATACCTAAAAACAAAGCCAAATTTAAGACTGGAGTGTCTAGTAAATTTTGACAGTATTTTTTTTTTTGCTTGACAGCTGCCCATTTTCTTACTGTGAATAAGTAGTAGCGATTTGAATTTACTGTGTTTTGCTTGTGGCCTTGAGCTAACTACCTACATATATTTGAATTTTTTTTGTAAATAATAACATAAACTTTATAAAAAAAAAGCTTATTACATCATAGTTGCTTACTTATTGTTAATAAAATTTACTATTAAATATCCCAACAAGCTTTTAGTTGTGATTTTGTCAATTAACTTTGCTAATTACTGACAAAAGTCACACGTTGCATATTTTTATTATAATAATGTTTTGTATAATGATCAGTAATTGTTGACAAGAGTCACAAGTTGTTTTTTTTAATGTTATATATAGCAAACAATTTTGTTGTTAAAATGTTGAGGTTGTTGATAAGTATTTAAAAACTGAGAAACAAAATGGCTTTTAAATGTGTTGAACAACAAGCCAACTATCCATGTCTATTATCTCTGCAGTATGAAGATGAACAGCTAAAGCGATTTATTTGGCAGATGACTTCTTTCTTCATGGTAAACAATATTCATTCATAGCGTACTTGCTTGCTGCTCTGTCGTTGAAAATTTACAAGACCATATAAGAATTAACAGCACCTGAAGTGCCAGATGTTTCAAACAGATTTAGTAGCGAAACTGGAAACGTTGGAAATAAGAAGACATACTTATGAAATATGACGACAAATTTATGGGAAAAGTTAAAGGATTACTACCGTTGATGTGTGTCTTCAAGATAATAAAAAGAAAATAAGGCCGGTGCTTGATTAATGCGAACTTAACACCTATGTAAAAGTATCTACAAGGGATGCAGATGTCATTACCAATTCAATGAGGGATTGGAGGCTCATGAGTAAAAATAGCAACAACTTAGTGGTTTATTTAAAAAGAGCATACCTCAAACAATCTGCACTTACATTTTTGGGTTTAGGTTTGAACCTAGCACCTGTGATGATGAGCTCAATACTACAATACGTTTGCCAACAAAATTTTTCACTTGCTAAATCAACAAGAGGATACATTGATAACACCTTAGCAACCAATGGAAATGGAAGAAAGCTGGTGGCACATTTGAAGAAATAGGGCTTTTACGTAAAACATAATATTTTGCAAAAATCCAGTTCATGCACTAGGATCAGGGTTGGTACCCAAAAACCCACCCAAAAACCCAAGACCAAAAACCCAACTTTATGGGTTTTTGGTCTTAAATTTTTAATTTTTTTGTTCATAAATCAATTTCCATTAACACACAAGATTTGATGCTGCTCAACTAACAACAAAAAATGAAGTTTAGTAAGTCATAAACAAGAATTTTATTTTACTTGGAGCAATAATATTCAAGCTTAATCATTTAAAACAAAGTAATCTAAAAGTCAGCAGCAATTGTGCATCTTGATCTTAAATGTCTGTAAATTCGTACAAGCATTTCAGCTTTTTCTCTTCCTAAACGATTTCTAATTTTGCTCCAAATAATCCCAAAAGATGAGAAAAATCTTTCTATGAATCCAGTACTAGCTGGACAAGTGTGCAACTGCCGTAAAAATTTTGCAAAATTTGCAGGCAATTTGGAAGACTTAGATTCTTTCATTTCTATAATTCTCCACCAATTTGTTGCTGATGTTGTGCTTTTAACACTATCGTTGAATAAATATGTTGGGAAACAATTAGCATCTTTTAGTTTAAACGCATAATAGCCTGGCATAAATTCAGGATAGACTTCATTCAACCATTCCTCAGCTTCTTCTTCTTGACTTCTATCCAATGTTCTTCCTAAGTAAATAAGTAAAGTTATAAGAGTAGTAAACTTGAATAAAAACTTTACATTTGTTTTTATTAAAAATTAATCAGATGCAATACTTTAAGTTTTTTACAATTGTTTAGTTACCTTTATATTTTGGATCTGTTAAATTGGCAAGAAAATGACATTGAACAATTACCTTCTTGAACCTCTTTAAAATATCATCTTTGTACAAAGCCAATTTTTCATTATGTATGAGGCTTTGCCAAATCTCAACTGCTTCAGACAAAGTTGTATCGTCTGCTTGCAACTACAGTAAACACAATAATTTTGCTAATAATTAGGTAAATTATTATATACAAAGTTAATGGTGACATTGTTCCTAATATAAGTGGTTTTAATATACTTAATATAATTAAATTTAATAAATCCAATTAATAACTAATTTTATTAACCTTATCTTACGCAACACCAAAATTTTCAGTTGTGCATATAAATTTATTGCTTCTCTTTGTATTGATAGATTGTCAATTAGGCTTCCTATCGAAGGATCAATGGATTCCATATGCTCAACTCTAATGTCAACGTACAGAGAATGATTAGATATGTATGTCTGTAAACAATCTAGTTGGGAGTTCCAGCGAGTATCATTAGGTAGCTGTGGCATCAGTCCACCTTTTTCCAATAACCAACCCTATAATAAATTTATTTAAGAAAATTTAACAAAGAAATATTAAAAAATAATTTTGTTAAAAAAAAGCTAGGATCTCTTTTGCCATCATTATCATTAGGCTTATATCATTAACACAGCTGTGTTATTTCATAGTATTGTATTACAGAATATGATCAATAAGTAAAGAATTTAATACATACATGTGGTTGGTGATGATTACAAAAATATTTATGAATTGCTATAATATGCTTTACTATAGACTTTGGAGAGACATCCTTTTCAACCAAATTTAAAAAATGAGCAGAGCAACCAAATGTTATCAACTTCAGCCTGCAAAAGTTTTCTCATTTTAGACATTTTATTTTCGTTGTCAGTGCATACTGCAAATACCTAAATAAAAAATGAAACATATATGTGTATATATATGAAGGCCTCAACGGAAGAACGATCAGAGTCACACTTTTGATGTTTTGAGAAAATCAATTTTTAAGATTTAAAACACCATCATGTAGTTCAACGAATTAAAATCACCCCAAAAATCATTTTATTAAAATCGTTCTTCCGTTGAGGCCTTATATATATATATATATATATATATATATATATATATATATATATATATATATATATATATATATATATATATATATATATATATATATATATATATATAATATATATATATATATATATATATATATATAATATATATATATATATATATACTTAAGGGGTAAACAGATTCTATCTGTTGACCAGCCTCGCACCCCTTCCTCATCTATTAGGCTGGCGCAGATGTATTTTTAATACATTGTTTCCAGTTTAGGATGTTGAACGCTGGATCTTCTTGACTCAATGCGTGGGTATTGCTTGTGTCTCTATTTTTATGACTGGGCAACTCATTCTATTATCTCCTTATGAGGGTACAGCTCTAAAACTCAGTTTTATGGTTCTGAGGCCGGCTGGTAGTCAGGTTTCCCGAACTCTGTGGTAGCTCTCAGAGAGGCTGATTCCATCAACAGCCGAAAAATATCAGAGTACTAACAGTGCCATGTTGCGCATGGATGGTGTCCCTGTTTGTACTTTTGGTGTGCATTGCAGAGGCCACATTTGGAGCCCTTTGTTACGGCTTAGGGTTTATTAATAGTAATGAGGCTATTGCTTAGTTGTTAAATAGTGTACTGAGTACTATCTATACTTGAGTCAAGCTCTTTATAAATTTAAAATGACTAAAGTACCTAAAACTAAAAAACACAAAAAACCATCGTCATCACCTAGTTCTCTAAACCTATCATTTACTAATATTCGTGGTCTTCGAAGTAACTTTTCTTCTGTTGAGTCTTATCTCTTGCAAAGTTCACCAGACCTACTTGCTCTTTGTGAGACTAATTTGAGTTCGGCTGTCCCATCTTGTGATCTTAGTGTTGATGGTTATCTTCCTTTAATTCGTAAAGACTCCAATAATCACATGCTTGGCCTGGGCATCTACATTCGTAAGAACTCACCCATTTGTCGTGAAACTAGGTTTGAATCTACAGACTATTCATTTATGTGCTTTCGTTTAGCACAACTTCACTCTATCGCCTTTCTCTTTGTTCTATATCGCTCTCCTTCATCCCAAAATTGTACTATTCTTGATGTTATTTCTGATCAAATTGACCAAGCCCTCTCTCTTTATCCATCGGCCAATATCGTCGTTGTTGGTGACTTTAATGCCCACCACACCGATTGGCTTGGCTCTAGTGTCAGTGACTCTGCTGGCGTTAAGGCCCTCAACTTTTGCCTTTCTCAATCTCTAACTCAAATAGTCAACTTTCCAACTCGTTTTCCAGACAACCCTAATCATTTACCTTCTCTACTCGACTTATGTCTTGTTTTGGATCCTAGTCAGTGCTCAATTTTTCCACATTCACCCTTAGGTACTTCTGATCACGGTTTGATCTCTCTAAAACTATTATCAAATTCTTCTACTTCATCAGAATCCCCCTATCATCGTACCACATACAACTACCTTAAAGCTGACTGGGACTCTTTCCGTGATTTTCTTCGTGATGGCCCTTGGGTAGAAATCTTTCGTCTTCCTGCTGACAAATGTGCTTCTTACATAACTTCGTGGATTCAGGCTGGCATGGAATCTTTTATTCCCTCTCGACGATTCCAGGTCAAGCCTCACTCTTCTCCTTGGTTTTCCTCACATTGCGCTGCAGCAATTTCTAATCGAAACTGTTACTTCCATATCTATCAGCAAAACAATTCTCCAGAAAACAGACATCTGTTCACTATCGCCAGAAACCATTGTAAAAAGGTTTTGTCTGACGCCAAAGCTCGCTATTCCCAGGTCATTAAATCTCGTATCTCATCACAAAAATTAGGCTCTCGAGACTTCTGGAGAATCTTTAACAGTATCAATAATAAGGGCAAATCTGTTATTCCTTCTCTCTTGTATGGTTTAGACTTTGTCACCTCACCTAAAGACAAAGCTGAATTGTTTGCTAAGAACTTTTCATCAATATCATCTCTTGATTCCACTAGTTGGGTTTTACCTGACATAGCCGTCAAACAGGTTGATCCCTTGCTTGACATTCGCATCACTTCAGCTTCTGTATCTAAAGTAATTTCCTGCTTAGACTCTTCAACAGCTTGTGGTCCTGACAACATTCCTGTTGTAGTCTTGCAGAGGTGTTCTCCTGAGCTTTCATCCATACTCTCTAAACTATTTAACAAGTGCTTATCAGAGTCTTGTTTTCCATCATGCTGGAAAGCAGCATCTGTTATCCCTATTTTCAAAAATTCCGGAGAGCGATCTGATTCATCTAACTACCGTCCCATTAGTCTTCTTCCTGTCATAAGCAAGGTTTTTGAATCTTTAATTAACAAACACTTAATCTCTCATCTTGAATCAAATAACTTACTTTCTGACCATCAATATGGATTTCGGTCTTCTCGTTCTACAGCTGATGTGCTAACAGTAATAACCGATAGGTTTTACCGTGCATTAGATAGAGGTGGAGAGGTTAAGGCTATCGCACTTGACATTTCTAAAGCTTTTGATAAAGTTTGGCATGCTGGTCTTCTCCATAAGCTTTCTTCTTATGGTGTAGCTGGTAACGTCTTTAAGATTATTGAGTCCTTTCTTTCCAATCGTAGTATAAAAGTTGTCCTCAATGGACAACACTCTTCTTCACATCCTGTAACTTCAGGGGTACCTCAAGGTTCAATCCTTGGCCCTATACTCTTTTTAATTTACATTAACGATCTTCCAGATATTCTCACATCTAAGGTGGCATTATTCGCTGACGACACTACCATTTACTCTTGTCATAATAAGAAGCCTACACTCTCTGATTGCTTGGAGGGGGTATCTGAGCTTGAAAAGGATCTCACTTCTGCTACAGCATGGGGCTCACAGTGGCTGGTGAACTTTAATTCAGATAAAACTCAATTTTATTCGGCCAATCGTTATTGTAATAATTTAGATCTTCCTATATTTATGAATGGTAATGTACTAGATGAGTCATCTACCATTCATCTTCTAGGATTAACTCTTACTTCTGATCTTTCTTTTAAACCGTATATCAAATCCATTGCAAAATTAGCATCTGCTAAGGTTGCATCTCTTTATCGAGCTCGACACTTTCTTACTCCAGATTCTATTCTCTATCTCTATAAATCTCAAATCCGTCCCTGTATGGAATACTGTTGCCACATCTGGGGCGGATCTTCTAATGATGCTCTTTCTCTTTTAGACAAGGTGCAAAATACTCAAATTCATTCTCGTGTTACTCGCCATTCAATTAAGTCTCATCCTTTTTCTGTGACTGTTCCTAAGTGCTTTAAAAACTCTTATTCTTCTAGTTTTTTTCCTCGAACATCAGTTCTTTGGAATTCGCTTCCTTCATCTTGCTTTCCTGATTCATATAATTTGCAATCTTTTAAGTCATCAGTCAATCGTTATCTTGCTCTACAGATTTAGTCTTTTCTCTTCCAGTAACTTCCAACTCTTATAGTGGTTGCTTGCAGCCTTGTTGGAAGTGAAGATGTTAAAAAAAAAAAAAAAAAAAAAATATATATATATATATATATATATATATATATATATATGTATTTATATGAGGCCTTATATATATATATATATATATATATATATATATATATATATATATATATATATATATATATATATATATATATATGTATATATATGAGGCCTTATATATATATATATATATATATATATATATATATATATATATATATATATATATATATATATATATATATATATATATATATATAAATGTATATGTATATAGTATATATATATACATTAAATAAAGCAGTTAAACATCTAACACTTACATCTTTATTGAATGTTTCTTTAGCAATTTTAATTGCATCCTTAGCAGCTTGAGCGCAATATTCTGCTGTTTTTGATTGGCTTCTAGTGTCAATTGCAGAAATGAGATAAGGTTTATTTTTACTATGGATGCTATGAGCAAATATAGGATCATTACTGAATGTACTCCAACCATCTTGAATTAGGGCAACAGCACTATCATCAGCAAGATCATTTTTCTTTAAATTGATTACTTCTTCATTTATCTTTACTAAGAGTTCTGAAGATATCTGTTTTCTATTTGGTGGCTCATATCCAGGTCTAAGTTTTTTAAGCAGCTTGGTAAATTTAAGATTTTCTACTACGTTGAATGGTATATTTGCTGAAAAGAAAAATCTTGCAACTTGTAAATCCAGTTCATCCTTCTGATTACTTGTTGTTGTAGTAACAAATTTAGAAATAGATGTTTGCTGTTGCATCGTCATTGCAGTTGACTGAACAATTGACAAATAAAAAGAATCACTAATAAAGCTTAAACCATCTTGCTCATTATCATCAGACAGGCTAGACTTATTTGATGCTGCAGATGTAGATGGCCTTGACTCTAAAACTGATATATCACTTAACACTTCAGCGGAATTATTATTGCTTCGTTTATTCTTTCTTCTGCATTTATCCAAATGGATCTTAACTCTTTCTATTTTTTTAATTATGCTCACTTTGCAATAATTACATATTACTCTATTTGGTTGATCACTTAATATGGTCACTTCATTCCACTCACTAGCCTTATTTCTTCCCCCTGAATGATACTTTGGCATGTTGAAAACGTATAATCTACTTATATTTTAAATTTAACTAAAAAGATAACTCTAATAATAATTTTGGTCAAAACCTGGGTTTTTGCCTACCCTGACTATTGATGATTTTGCAAAAATCCAGTTCATGCACTAGGATTGGAAGTAACAGTAATAAAAAAAAAG